ACTGATAAAGCTCAGAACAATGCCCTAAGTAAAGTGCATTGGTTTAGTGCAGGCTTTTTTCAGACAATCAGAGGACTTTAAGCTTACTTCTAAAATAAAGCTGGCAATGTGTTTTGAAAGGATTGAGACTGCTAGAAAACTAAGCATTAAATAACTCACATGTTCCTATATTTGCCCATTTTTTGTTATACCTTACTATTGGAAGTTACAATTTAATCTCTTAAATGATAACTTTGCTGATCTTATTACTGACTGAATTTATCTTAAATATAGAGTATAACCTTCCCTGTTCCAAAATAGCTCTGAGAGAAAAATAAGTCTTACATATATCCAAAAGAAAGCCTGTTATTGTCTGCTGGGGAGAAACCTACATGTAGGATACCAGGAAGGTGAAAGGGAAAAAGAAGACAGATTACAAGTCCTTCCTGTGTCAGCCTGGACTTCATATTTGGCTTAAAGGTCCAAAAAAACCAGACTTATCCATGTTCATATACAAATACTAGACTAAAACATTCCAAAACCAATATAGAGAACTAACATAGAGATTACATCGATATCTTCTCCCCTTCATTAATATGATTAAGGACTGACTATAGTAAGGGGTCCAAATTCTGTTCTGGAAATTAAGATTCCCACAAAAATTAATGAAAATTGGGTAATTTTTTGTTTTAAATTATCCCAGCAATTATGCATTCATTTTGTATCTCTCTTCTATTTACTTATATATAAATATATCCTATCCCCCCTAAAAAATATCTGTTCCTTGAGAACAGGGGCTATATCACTTTTGTATTTGTATCCCCAACACCAAACAAAGAGTCTGACACATAATGAATATTTTAAAAAATGCCTTTTTATTGATTATGTGAAATTTGTAACTAAACTAGGCTGAACTCGAGGTATTAGACTTTCTTTTGGAAGTGGATTGCTCTTGGTATGCAAAAAGTTCAAAATTCACAATAGCTACTTTCTAACATCTTAACTTAGCACCCTAATAGTAGTACTTTGGGGGAATGAGTTTGCTTTGTTTCAAAATAGTCTCATTAAAATTGTGAAATAACAAAACTATGCTTATTTCATCATGATGTATGATTTTAAAGACTGACGTACAATTTTAAGCTTTGTAAAACAACTTGTCATAATTCAACTCAAATACTGCCTGACTAGATTTCAAACTATCTGAAGTTATTATACTGAAGTAAATCTACATGTCTAACTGATAAAAGAAGTTCTCAAAGTAAGTTATCATAATCATCTGTACAAAGTGGATCCAATGATTTAGAACATATAAAGTTGTAGAGAAACAAAACTATGTATTTCACATGAATGACCTGGAGGAAATATGTAAGCAAACACAATGTAGTCAAAACTCGAAGTCAACAGGCCTGAGTTCTTGTCCTAACGGCTACTACATACCTGAACGATTTTAAGTGTCTCACTCAACTTTTCTGGGGTTCAGTTTTTCAAATATAAATTCAGAGGGCTGGAATATAATGGGATCTTTAAGGTCCCTTCCAGCTCTCCATTCTCTACTAATGAAAACGGTATGATTAATATTAAACATATATTAGATGATATGAAAACAAATAAAGAAAATATTCATGGGCCCACACAATTGCTACTAAAATGTATTGGGTGGATCTATATTTTACTTTGACAGTCTATGTCTTTAGGGTTTGTTTTACATTTACTTCCAGGAACACCACTTATGAAATTAATTCACAGAATCTTTTTCTATTTATGAACATGTGAGAAGAAGATCTTCCTTTCATTTTAGATGCTATACATGTTAAACCCATAATCTATGTATGGCAACAGAAAAATGTCCCCAGGTTAAAGTACTCCTAAAGACTTCTATAAAAGTTCATTTCATTAAATAGACACAGTTCGCTAAGTTTAGGAAAGCTGATTTAAGGCACAACATCGTAAGTATCCAAACACCTCAGTAGACATTTTTTTTCTTCCAGAGACAGCAACAAGTAGAAATTTCAGTTTTATAAACTGAACCCACATATGCTTGACTCTTGCCATTTTCCTTAAGAACCATACTAATAAGATGAGAGGCACTCCTAATGAAAGAATCTTTGGAGACAAATGTTTCAAAAATAGAAACAAAACATTGTATGAGAAGGATTTCATTGTGTGCCCACTCACTTTAGAAGTCTAATGGCGCTTTGTCCTAGGCACTGTTCTCTGCTCCCTCCATACTACTTCAGTTGGTGATCACATCTGCTGTTATAGATTCAATTCTCATATCTATCTTGAAAATTCTCAAAACTAATTACCCATTTCTAACCTCTCAGCTGACCCCCAGTTTCATATCTCCAACTGCCTATTAGACATCTCAAAGTGGATGTCCTGCAGACATCTTAAATTCAGTAAGTCCAAACTCACTATCTTTTCCCCAAAACTCGGTCTCCTTCCAAATTTTCCCATTACTGTCGAGGACACCACGATCATTCCAGTCTCCCAGGTTTGCAACCCAGGTTCATCCCAGACTCCTCACTCTCTCTCACTCCATATCCAATCTGGTGCTAAGGCAGGTCAATTTTACCTTTATGATATCTCTTGTATATGCCAATTTCTCCCCTCTGATCCTGGTACCACCTGATGCAGGTCCTCATCATCTCACACCTGGACTAAAGCAATAGCCTGTTCATTGCTCTTCTATCACCAGTCTCTCCCAACTCCAGTCCATTCAACTGTCAAAGTGATATTCCTAAAGTGCAATTCTTTTTTTTTTAAATAAATTTGTTTATTTATTTTTAATTTTCAACATTCACTTCCACAAGATTTTGAGTTCCAAATTTTCTCCCCACCTCTCCCCTTCCTCCACCCCAAGATGGCACACAATTTGTTACTGGCTCAACATATACATTCATATTAAACTTATTTTCATGTTAGTCATGTTGTAAAGAAGAATTAGAACCAATGGGAGAAACCACAAGAAAGAAGAAACAAACAAAAGAGAGAGCAAATAATATGCTTCAATCTGCATTCAGACTCCATAGTTCTTTTTCTGGATGTGGACAGCATTTTCCATCATGAGTCTTTTGAAGTTGTCTTAGATCCTTGCATTGCTAAGAAGAGGTAAGTCTATCAAAGTCTATCGAAGTCATATCACATAACATGACTGTTACTGTGTACAATGTTCTTCTGGTTCTGCTCACTTCACTCAGCATCAGACCATACAAGTCTTTCCAGGTTTTTTCTGAAATCTGCCTGCTCATCATTCCTTTTAGCACAATAGTATTCCATTACATTCACATACCACATCTTGTTCAGCCATTCCCCGAATGATGGGAATCCCCTCAATTTCCAATTCTTGGCCACCACAAAAAGAGCTGCTACAAATATTTTTGTACATGTGAGTCCTTTTCCCAGTTGTATGATCCTTTGGAATACGGACGGAGAAGTGGTATTGCTGGGTCAAAGAGTATGCAGTTTTATAGCCCTTTGTGCATAGCTCCAAATTGCTCTCTAGAATGGTTGGATCAGTTCACAACTCCACCAACAATGCATTAGTGTTCCAATTTTCCCACATCTTCTTCATTTATCTTTTTTTCTGTTTTGTCATGTTAGCCAATCTGATAGGTGTGATATTGGTAAAGTTGGTAAAGTGCAATTCTAATCACATCACACTCCCCTACTCAATAAACTCCAGTGGTTTCCCATCACCTCCAAGATCAAATATAAAATCTTCTGTTTGATGTTCAGAGCCTTTCATAACCTAGCCTCTCCTCCACCATTCCAGTCATAACACACCTACCCCCAACATATTTTTCAATTCCTTGACACTAGCCTTCTTGCTGTTCCCCAATCAAGATGCTCCACCTCCCAAATCCCAAATCCAGGCATTTTCACTGACTGTCTCCCATAACTAGAATTCCCATCTTCGTCACTGCCTTTTGGCTTCCTTAGCCTATTTCAAGTCTCAGCTAATGTCTCATCTTCTATAAGGAAGTCTTTACTGATCCACCTTAATTCTAGTACCTTCCTCTATTGAGTATCTCCAACTTATATTTTCCATATTTTGTCTGTACATAGTTGTTTGCAAGTTGTCTCATCCATTAAACTCTGAATCCCTGACAGCAGGGATTTTCTTTTGCCTTTCTTTACATCCCCAGCACTTAGCACAGTGCCTAGTGCATAACAGGTGCTTAATCAATTTCTATTGACTAAATGACTGACTGGTAAAGCCCAAGTTTGCTGATATTCAGAGTTCAGTAAAAATGCCCTTAGTTTAAGCTGGTATCTATCTGAGGAACCTAAATACTCAGTGATAAGAAGGGATTTTTCACCTGGAAATCACATAAGACCCTTTCTTTAGCAAACAATTCAGATTTCAGAAATGAGTAGCTGTCCATGCAGTTATCTGAATATAAACACTAAACTTTGTTTTCAAAGACTAATTTCATTTTTATTACAATAATAGTAATGTCTAGCATTTACACAGTACATTAAAGTTTGCAAAGTGCTTTACGATTCCTAACACATTTGATCTTCCCTGGAAACAATACTGGAAAGTAGGTGCTATTTTTATCTCTCTTTTACAAATGAAACAACTGAGGCTGGGAGAGGATAAGTGAGTTATTCAGGATCACACAACTAGAAGTGTCTGAGGCAGGTTTTGAATTCAAGTCTTTCTGATTCCAGGTCTGGTGTTCTATCTACTGTACCACTTATCAGCCCCTATTAGGTAACTAAACTCACAAATGAAGGCAAATTTATTTGTGAATAGTCTTCTTGAAACACTGTATTAACAATAGGGAAATAACCTATTCATTACTTTGACAGATTTAGCTAGAATCATAACTAAAAAAAAATAATTTAGAACAAAAAAATTATACTTATTTTGAGTACTTTATATTCAGTCAGCATCAGACATTATATAGCTACAAAGAAGGCTTTTCAAAAAAATATTCTCATATCTAGAGAAAACACCAGAAAAGAGGATGTACATTTATCTGAGTACTCAATAAGTCTTAGCAAGGACTTACTTGCCACTCCTGATGCAAGGCCATAAAGCAATCCTCCACCATCTGATTGCTGCTCAAAGATGTGGGTCCCAGGGGGAGGTCTCTTTTCTTGTCTGATGAAGTTATACAATAAGGTCTTCACAAGTCTGCTGGTATACGGAAGACTGTAAAAAAAAAACAACACTTCAACATTTATCCAATTTGGATGGTTTGTGATAATGAAATAGAGATGAATGACTTAATGTCATTAACAATCACATAATATAAAGGGTTGGTGCATATTGTTTTAAAGCCCAGCTGAGTGACCCACCTAAGCAGAAATGCTGAGCCCAAGAACAAACACTGTGAAGACTCCACAAGAAGAGAATGGAGGACCAGATATGTTGTCTTGGCCATATGTATTTTTTATGTGTATGCCTTGCTACTACTGTACTCTTAAGTTTGCCAACTTTTCCCATTGACCTAGCATATATTTGTGAAAGAGTGTACCCTAGGTTTATGGGGAGGGGAGGAAGGATATTTTGTAACCACTCATTTTACTCTGCCATATCAGTAAATTAGCTGACCTATGTTTATTATCTACTTAAAGGCAAGCTCACCAGTGGGGCTTATGAGCAATAGTTTTAAGTGGACAACCAAGTACCCTAAAACCTTGATGTAGTAGTTGCCCTCTAAGGGACCCAACCCATGAGTGACAGTTGTCATGTAACTCTTAGAGGGATGTTACATTCACTTGTAGGGAGTGAAAATAAAAAGGTATAATAAAAATACCCCCAAACTGATATTGAATTAACTCCTGCAAGCCAGGCATAGTTTGCTGAATTCCAGGAGTCCAAAGAAATTTTTTCAAATATAGGATCAAAGTATAGATCCCCAAAATTAGTCATCATAAAAAGAGGCATGGCTCATATATTCTTAAATAATGAGATTGTAAAATGAGTTAACAAATGAAGAAAACTCACTATATACAACAAATAGATAATAAAGTGAATCTCAACATTTCAGAAGGCAATGATAATAGAAATTTAAAACTCCTTAAACCTAGGTTCAAAATCAATTATGAAAAATCATGAAGTCCATCTAAGTGTCTTCTATCAAATCTGAAACTGTATCCTCCCATCTTCTCCTCGTGAAAAGTATACAAGGAATGAAATGCTACTATTTTTTTGATAACACATTGGAGTTTACAACTATTACATAATGGAAAATCTTATTAATATCTAAGCTAAATCCCCCAAACTACAATTTAAATTTATGTATTTCTGTCTCATATTTGGTGAAAATGAAGAATCAGCTGCTAATATTAATCAATTAATGAATTCACATTTATTTAGATGCCTGATATGCCAGCTCAGGCAACTAGAGGCTCAGTAGATAGAGTGCTGGGCCTGAAGTCAGGAAGACCTGAATTCAAATCCAGCCTCAGACACTTACTAGCTGTGTGACCTTGGACAAGTCACTTAACCTCTGTTTGCCTAGGAGGCAGCTGGGTGGCTCAGTGGATACAGCACTGAGCCTGGAATCAGGAAGAACTGAATTCAAATCTGGCCTCAGACTCTTACTAGCTGTGTGACCTTGGGTAAGTCACTTAACCTCTGTTTGCCTTAATCGACTGTAGAAAGAAATGGCAAACCACTCCAATATCTTTGCCAAGAAAACTCCATGAACAGTATAATCCAAGGAGTCACAAAGACTGAATAAACTGACATTACTGAATGATTGAACAACAACAATGTGCCAAACAATGTGCAAGGTGATGGGGAAAAAATTTAAAGAGTCCCTGTCATCCAGGAGTTTACCCTCTGCCAAGGGAGACATATACACAAATATAGTGCTCTATAAATAAAATATACAAAAAATAAATTCCAAGCATAATGGGACTGAGGGGAAGAAACGTGTACCTGGAACAATCAGGAAAGGATTCAAGTAAAAGGCACTACCTGAGAAGAATTTTGAGGGAAACAGGAATTTTAAGAGATAGAGATGAGGCAGGACTATATCCCAGATATGGGGTCTAGCCATTACAAAGGTGTAGAGACAGGAGAAGGAGTGTTGTGAGTGAGGAATGAATGAGGCAATTACGTAGAGCAGCAGAAAGAGCCTTGGACCTGGAGTCAGAAAGACCAGAGCTCTAATTCAGTTTGAGACATTTTCTGGAAAGTCAGTTAACCACAGTCACCCTCAGTTTTCTCATCTGTAAAATAGGGAGTATTAATAGCACCTACCTCACAGAGTTATTGCGAGGATAAAATAAGCCAATATTTATTAGGCACTTTGCAAACCTTAAAGTGCTAGGAAAAGCTAATTATAATAATTATTATGAGATAAGGAACTCTTATTATCACTGTTATTATTATTATTATTATTATTATCATTATCATTATCATTATCATTATTACAAGGAACACCAAGAAGGCCAATTTGGCTGGACCACAGGCTACAGGTGTAAACAATATTTTTTTTTCAAAACTAGAGCTGGATTTCCTCAGAGCTTCCAGTGAGGATTTCCTCTGCCAGTATGGACTGGTACCTTCTCTGCACTTCATAGGCTTAAAGAAGTGAAAAAACAATATCCTCGTACTTATAAAACATCATCCATACAACATCCTTTGCCTTCTCCCAGACCCAAGAATGCCAATTCCTTTCCACTTAAGTTCTTTAAAATGTATCACTTTTATAACTGTATGCCAATTTTATGGAAATTTTGTAGAATTCACCTGACATGGAAGGCAGAGGCCACATGTGGCCTTCTAGGTCCTTGGGTGTGGCCTTTTGACTGAGTCCAAGTTTTAAAGAACAAATCCTTTTATTAAGGGGATTTGTTTTGTGAAGTTTAGATTCAGTCAAAGGGCCGCACTTGAAGACTTTAGAGGGCCACATGTGGCCTCAAGGTCACAGGTTCCCCACCCCTGCTAGACCTTTCTACCACTTTGTGAATGCCTTTTTACCCTAAAGATGCCTCCTATCCCATGGCCCCCTGCTCTGCTTGGTAACCTCCTGCCCAGGACCACCATTTCATACGCCATCCAAGCCATTCATGCTTACTTCTCTTCCAACAGAAATGAAGGAAGAATGAAAAAAGACATCAGACAAGGATAGCAAAAGCAACAGAGTGGCAGCAGAGCGACCAATGAGAGACTTCTTTCTAAATGTACACAAGGAGAAAGGAGTGAAGACTGACATCTGGTGGAGGTAACAGTGAAGAGATGGACAGAGGGCAATGTAGACAGAAGCTGGTTACACCCTGCAAACAGGTGAATCAATGCTGTTTTGTGGGACTGCATTGTGATATGGAGGGTACATGAAAGGGGAGGGAGAGAAGGGAGATAGGAATTTGTGATGTGCCCAGGTCAAATCAAGGACTAGCAATGAGGGGAAGGTGACCTCTGGGGTCATAGAAAGAACCCACAGAAGAGTAGGTAAGGAGGAGGAGAGAAAATTGAAAATGGGGTATGGAGAGGAAGGAGGCCTTACTTTGGTAGGGGGTTCTACTGATAAATGCTCATATAGGTGAAGAGAGACGATCTGTGAAAGAAGATGGAGACTTTACACTGTGTGTGGCCTGAGGAATTTAGTGGTTGAAGAATCTACTTGTCCTATGTCAGAGAGGGGGAACTGCAATCACTGGGGGCAACTAGCAGCTGAGGGGCTGGGAGGGCATGAAGCCAGGGAGGAGATGCCTCAAGTCCCTTCCCACTCCAATCTATCCTTTACTCACCGATCAAAATGATATTCCTAAAGTACAAGTCTGACCAGAGCACTTCCCCGTTCATCCATTGTGGTGGATCAGAATATGCAATCCTCTTTGGGGGCTTTTAAAGCCCTTCATAACCTGGACCCTTCCTGCCTTCCTAGTCTTCTTCCACTTTACTTCCCTCCATGCACTTGCTGATTCAGTGACACTGGTCTCCTTGTTGTTTGCTGAACGTGATTCTCTGTCTCCTGACTCTACACTGTCACTAGCTGTACACCATGCCTTGAATTCTTCCCCTTCCTCATCTCTTAACTCCTGGCTTCCTTGGATTCCTTCAGATCCCAGCCAAAATCCTACCTCCTTTAAGAAGTCTTTCCTGGAGACTTGAATGAACTGATGCTGAGGGATGTCAGCAGAACCCGGAAAACACTGTACACAGTATCAGCTACAATGTGTGATGACTAACTTTGATAGACTTATCTCTTCTTAGTAATGCAAAGATCCAAGACAGCTCCAAAGACTCATGATGTTCACATCCAGAAAAAGAACTATGGAATCTGAATGCAGATTGAAGCATATTATTTGCTCTCTCTCTTTTTTTTCTCTTTTTTGTTTGTTTTTTTCTTTCTTGTGGTTTCTCCCATTGGTTTTAATTCTTCTTTACAACACAATTAATGTAAAAATAGATTCAACATGAATGTATATGTAGAGCCTCTATCAAATTGCACGCCATCTTGGGGTGGAGAGAGGGCCGAGATGGGGAGAAAATGTGGAACTCAAAACCTCATGGAAGTAAATGTTGAAAATTAAAAATAAATAAATAAATAAATGAATAAATAAATATATAAATGAATGAATGAATGAGTAAATAAATAAATAAATGGACAGATAAGTGGATGAATGAATGAATGAATAAATAAATAAATGAATGAATAAACAAATAAATGAATAAATAAATAAGAAGTCTTTCCTGGTCCCCATTAATGCCCTGCCTTTCTTTGTATCCCCAATGCTTAGCATACAGCCTGCCTCATAGTAAGCACTTCAACAAATTTTTTGTTTGTTTTTTCTTTGTCAGATAGCATGACTACAATTCTCATTTTTAAAAATTCACTTCATGCATAATAAATTTTTTTCTATCCCCTCAGTTTTATTTTGCATAAATCTTTATTTGCATATGTTAGTTTTTAAAATTTATAAGCAACAGATTGTAGGGTTTTGTTTTCTTCTCTAGTCTGTCACTCTTTTTGGTTTTATTGGACTGTTTCATCCCTTCACATTTAAGGTTATAAGAGTTAGGTTTATATTTTCTCTAACTGCTTCTAATATTTTTTTTAAGTTAAGATTTCCACCCCTTCTCCTACAAACACTATAGTGTCAAAGTACTATATTCCTTCAATTACTTTACTTTAATCTATTTTCTTAAGATTACCTGTCATAATCTTGAAAGCAATACCTTACAAATTGATC